GGACGGGGTGGAGTGGGGGACTTAGCAATCAGACAGCGCGACTGATCCCCACCGCAATCACCCATAAAGTGTCAAATTAAATCGTCGTTTGCTGCGTGATTTATCGCGTGGCGGGGCGTGGCGGGGCGTGGCGGGGAGTGGCGGGGCATGGCGCGTCGGGCCGCAGGCGTCCCAGGATGCCGCGCACCTCTCTCGCGGGCCGCCTTACACTACTGACCCTTCTGAGGCGCCTCAAGCGCTCGTGTCGCACTCACCGGTATCTCGTCCGTTGCCAGTATAAAGTCTGTAAACAGAAAAAGAAAGGAAATCAGTGTTAATTACTTGTCCCATTTTCATTCAAACAGTGCCACACACAAACGGGGCCGGATGCGCGACGTACAAAGCGCTCTGCGAGCGACGGGGCAAACGACAAGACGACTGAGCGCTGCCGGGTGCCGGGTTCGGGAAAAAAACAGCAACAACAATACAACAGCACTGGAAACAGGAGGGGTGAGCGGGAGAGGCGAGTGATGTGAGGGAGCGGGAAGAGGGTAGGGCAGAAGGAAAGGCCCTTTATGGGGAGAGGAAGAGGGGAGTGCGTAAACAGGCCCGCGCAGCCAATATGAGACATTGCCGAGCGGAGGGGGCAGGCGGCGGCGGCGGCGGGCGCGCTGCGCGTGAAAGGTGAACTCGGCGCGGCAAGAGCGAGCAAGAGGGCGCGAGGGAGGAGCAGGAGAGAGAGACGGGCCCTAGCGAAGACGAGCGAGCGAGAGGCCTATCCCCCCAGTAATCCCGAGGCGGGGGCCCTGGCGGCCTGGCCCCGGCCCTGCCGGTGCTCAAGGACCTCCTCACGGGCCGCTCCTCCTTCAAACACACCGCCCAGCAGCCCCGGCCGGCAGACCTCTCCAAGCAGCAGGCCCCATAACTCACATCCACCTCTCTGTGCCGGCCAGGCCGCCGGGGCTCGGCACGAAATTAGAGAGAGAGAGTCCCCCCAAAAATAACAGCGTAAAGTAAGTAAACGGTGGGAGCGCGCGGTCCTCTGCGCACGCCGGCGTTATTGTCAGCTCCTGCATGATCCCCCCCCCCCAGTCCGCCCCTTATACACGGCCGCCATTCCACGTCCTCGGCAACACAAGCTCGAAAGAAGAAGAGGGAGGATGTACTGAGGAGTACAATTGCACGGGGGGAAAGGAGGGGAGGGGGGGGGGGGAGGGGGAGCTGTCGGACGCTGTGGACCGGTCTTTTCCACCCCTGCGCCAGCGCCTCCCCCCAGGCCTCCTCGCTCCATCCCTGCTGCTGGTGCCGGGGCTCTCGGCAATTAGGGGATTCCTGGGACTGAGAAAACCATTATCAGGCGCGAAATATCTCGCACATTGCAGCAGCAGAGCAACGTGCTGGGCCCGGAACGCGGCGTCCAGGGCGTAAAGCTTCTTTCTTAATTTCTTGCCGGCCTGAGCCGCTCGCGCCACGGCGAGGCACTACAGCAGCAGCCTTAATTCCTCAGTGCCGCTCGCAGCCGTCGCGCCCGAGGAGCATCGCATCGCATCGCAGTGCGGGGGTTGGAGGAGGAAGACCACGCTAAACTAAACGGCGCGGTCATAGGGCGACGCATTGGCAGAGAGACGACTATAAGAGGATCCATTCCGGGAGAAATATTTTGATGTGCTATCGCCACCCGGGCGCCTTTAGGGGCACTCTGGTTAGGGAGAGGGATGTATGGGTAGGGGTGGAAGGGGACGTGTGAGTGTGTGTGTGTGTGTGCGTATGGAGCGCCAAGGAACAGCAAATGGACTGCTGCTTGACCCTCGCAGGGACCCTCGCTGCCCACGCTGAGCTATCTCGCCGCTCCTCCGGCAGAACGCCGCGCCCCGAGCCTGCCCAAGCCGCCTGCACGGCCTCTTCTTTGGTGTCTAGCTGCTGCTTTTTAGAGGACAGCTTGAATTATCGTGCCAATCGTGGTAATATATTCAGCGGCGAGCAAGGGGAGCAGGCGGTGAGGGAAACAGGGGTCGTTCCACTCTGAGTGAGGTGGTTGGTGGTGATGGTGGTGGTGGTTGTTGGTGGTGATGGTGGTGGTTGTTGGTGGTGATGGTGGTGGTGGTTGTTGGTGGTGATGGTGGTGGTTGTTGGTGGTGATGGTGGTGATCGTTGATGGTTGTTGGTGGTTGTTGATGGTCGTTGGTGTTTGTTGATGGTTGTTGGTGGTTGTTGATGGTTGGTGGTGGTTGTTGTTGGTTGTTGGTGGTTGGCGGTGGTGGTTAGTTAGGGACGGAGAGAGGAAAGGGGGTTGGGTGGGCTGACTCTCAAGGGCCGCGAAGCCAAGCAGCATTTTGGAATAACAACGGTTTTGATGGGGCTCCAGTTCCAGCAGCAGAAGCAGCTCTGTTCGTCACGCACAACATGGTGAAGTAGGGAGCGCCCCCTCCAACTGCAAGTGTAGACAAGGTAGAGAGTGTAGCAGGGACGAGGGAGGGGGGCACGAAGCGTTGAAAGGGGTCCAAGTCCCCGTAGACAAATTAAAAGCGGAGACAATGCCTCGTGCCTGAGCCTGTGAGGCGAAAAGGGGAACATATTTCAGGCCAGGACCAGCACTCGGGTGGTGGGGAGGAGGAGTTGGGGGTACGCGGGGGGCGGTGAGGGGAGAGGAAGGGGGGACAGGGAGAGGGGCGAAGCGGGGGAGGCTGAAAGCGCGACGAAGACGGCAGCGATACAATGAAAGCGACGCGAGCGCCCTGGGGAGGCGAGCGGGAAGGCGCGCGTGTAACGCCAACGAACACTCAGGGGCCTGCTCGTAAGAGTTGCATGAGCATCTTGGAACTACCGATCTCAACACCACACGCACACACACACACGCACACACAGAGGGCGCAAAGTAGCAGCTTGTTCTAAACTTCTCTCCGCTTCTCTCTCTCTCTCTCGCTTGCTCTCTTCCTATTATTGTTGATATTGTTGATCTCTATCTATCTGTCTGTCTATCTGTCTGTCTGTCTGTCTGTCTGTCTCCCTCTCTCTCTCTCTCTCTCTCTATCTCTGGCGGCCTGTGCGTACGTCCGAGCAAAATAAGTTTAAACCACATCCCTTTGCTGGACACGTGTCTGTGGTTGTCTGGCTTCGGCCGACCCCACCACCCCTCCTCCTCACCCCGCACTACCGACGTGCGCATTTTTGCGATGGCCTCATCTCGGCCGGTACAACATCCTGGACGCCCCGCAGCCCCGACTAGCGAGATATTGCCCGCCCCGCCCCGCCACGCCCCACCGCAGCTGCCCGACGACAAAGTTTTGCTGCAGCGAGCTTGGAGCGTGGAGCGTGGAGCAGGGGCGCGGTGGCGCGGCTGCGAGAGAAGTATTGCCGACAGGGCGGGGAGAATAATGATGAAAACGGGGTAAATAAAACGCAATAAGAAACGATGAGGTCAGGGGAGATAAAAAACAAAATCAGGCAAGAAAAGGGGGCGAAACGAGCGCGCGGTAATAATAATAAGCAGAAGAGGGGGAGGACTTCAATTTCATTTTGATTCAGGCGTTGCTGCTGCTGCGCTGCGCGGAGGCAGGGCGGGGACCAACCCCAACCATTTTACGAAATCGAATCGACATGCCGGCTGCATCATCATCATCATCACACAGCCAATTAGCCGAGCTCCGCCGGGGCAGATACAATCAGAGTGACCGAACGCCTTGGCGGCGGGGCGGGGCGGAGCGGGGCGGGGCGGGGCGGGGCGGGAAGGAGGAGGGGGGCATAAATAAGGCTCAGCGAGGCGCCGAACGCAACCCGTCTCCCCCGTCTCGCCGCCCTGCCAGGACAGGGACCAGGCCGGGGAAAAAAGAATTGAAATCGAAATTAGCCATTACTCTGTCGGAAGCCAATTTCGGCGTCTTCCGGGGGCCGTTGCCGAGACGGCCCTTTGGCGCGCCGGGCAGGCGCTTCCGTCCCTCAGGTCCGCGGCCAGAGACGAGCTCGTCGTCGTCGTCGTGGGGGAAGGCGCACCATAGCGGCACCTCGCCGCAAGTGAAACGAGGCCTCGGCGGGAGAGGCCGCGCACCGACCACGCACGCGCGACCTTGCTGCTCAGAGCAGGGCGAGAGGAAATACGACATTTATTTATTTGATGGAAAGAGAGGGAGAATGAAAGGGAGAGAGGAAAAGAGAGAGCGAGAGAAAGGGGAGGGGGTTGAGGAGGGTGAGGGGGAGTGAGTGGTCGCGTCACCCCATCGGGCCTTTTGCTCGTCCACTTTATTTTACGTTTATAACCCTCGAATTGAATTCCACATCTCCCTCCCCCCCCCTCTCTCTCTCTCTCTCTCTCTCTCTCTCTCTCTCTCTCTATCACATACAGACACACACACACAGACACACAGATAGAGAGTGTTACAGCAAGTGGGTCCATCGAGGGGGGCCAGAGAACCAGTCAGCGCGGGCCAGAGCAGGGGCGCTGCCGGTTGAACGGCATTCTATTTCCTCCCCTCGAGCATCCAGCCGACCATCATTTGGCAAAAATCAAGTGGTCCATTTTCGTCGCAATCAAAGGGGCCCTTCGCTCTTCTATGGCGTCGGCTCGAACGTGTGTGAGAGGGGGGGGGGGGGGGGGCAACCAAAGAGTCCAGTCAGGAGCAGGGTCCAGCATTCATCGTCGAGTGGACGAGCCTCGAGAAGAAATACGCCCAATACAGTGATTCGCAGAGGTGTGTGTGTGGGGTGCGAGATGACGAGGGCGTATGAAGGAGGGCGGTGGTCGGGGCGGAGCGTGCTGGGGGTGCTGGCTGCGGTACTTGATTGCCGAGGGGGCCAGGCGACCGTCGCCTCGGCAGTAAAGCGCGCTATCGCGCTAAAGCCGACGAGCTTGCGGCGTGGCGTGGCGGGGCTGGGCGGGTCGGGGCGCGGCGGCGGCAGGGATATGGCCCGTTGTTGCAGCAGCGGATACCGCACTAAGACGTCGGGGAGCGAGAGGGAAAGATACGCGGCTGGAGGGGGTCATCGCGATGAACAGGACTCTGATTATCTGGCTATGGCTGGCAGCGAAGTCCATACACCAACGGCAGTGGGGCGCACAGCGCCAGCAAACCACCAGCCAGACCACCACTCCCAAGACAACGTCTCTTTCTCCCCCACCTCCCCCCCTCTCTCTTTTTCTGTATCTTATTGTTGCTTACTTCTTTTTCTGCGGCCAGTCCAAATCCATGGCACGTTGGTTCTGCCTGGGCGGGCAGCGGACATTAGCCGGGCGACGCACTCTTAAGGCGAGCCGCTCCTGATTGTTGTTGTTGTTTGGGGTTGGGTAGGGGTGGTGAGAGAGTAAGAGAG